TTAGCTCACTTTTACGGTCTGCATAAGCATAGTAATCACTCATGCTAGGACAAGTATTATACCTGAATGTCACAGGTCATTCGAGTTAAATCTTCTTTAACAACATGCAACTCTGCAGTCTGAATGACCAATGTCAACAGGGAAATCCCTACATTGCATGACACACCTTTGCAGCACACCTTTCTTCAAACACATGCCGTGAACCTTCTTCAATGGCAAGCTCTTCTTTAAGAGATGCTATCTATAGATAAAAAATACTGAACTTCCTCCAAACAAAAAGACAAGAACAAGAAACCTACCTTTGATTCCGCTTGATGAACGTGCATGCCTTCTTCCTGAAGAGCCTGTTCCGCTTTATGTAGATCCTTCGACATATGTAAGGCATCGGCGACTAGCCTTTTATTCTCTTCTTTTAGTTGCAAGAAGCTGTCCATTTGAATGTGAAACTATGCGGGAAAAAAAAGAGATAGTTCATGCATAATTCAAGAAAGAATCATACCTCAGTGTCAATACGGTCTCTCTCCTTTCCCAGAGACTCCATTAAAGTTTGTAAATGCAGAGTTTCCGTACTCTTGACCTCAGACTCTTCTGTAAGACGCCGAAGGTCACCCTCGGTTTTTATAAGGTGCGATTCAAGCAGCTGATAATCTGCCATTGTAGTTTCAAGCTTCCCGACCTTCCATACACAAGAAATGAGTTGAAGAAAAGTTTTTTTGCAAAATATTACGAGCTTATCCCTTGTTTGATCGAGTTGTGTTACAAGAACTTTTAGATCCCTGACTTCCTTCTCAGCTATCTGTAGCTGAACTCTGTAATTGCAGCGCACTTACAAAGGAAAAGAGAATCTATAGCATATTACTGGTATTCTTGAATCTCAGAGGCGGATGCCGCTAAAATTAATTTCTTCCGACACTCCTCATTTTTACAATCCTCAGCATAATTTCGCAACTTGGTATGTTCTGTCTGAAGGGCTTGAAGTTGACACCTGTAATGCCCATATAAGAATAATCCAATTGGTTAAGAGATTCATACTCCAAATTTTTGCATTTCTCTTGAAGTTTCACTTCAGAAGCCACCCGTATCTCTAATTCCTGTACACAGATGCATAAAATGCAATTAACAGCCCATTTTCCTACCTTATTTTCACAAGATATGGCAGAATCACGTTCTTCTGTCCTTGTTGCAAGAGCAGATGTTAGGTCTCCAATGTTAGCATCTAGTTCCTGAAATTAATTGCTCAGAAAATATCTCACCATACAATTTCTTGCCTTGATAAGAGAGGTTAGCTGCGAGCATTCACGCTGGCTGGCTTCAAGCGCTTCTTCACTCACAACCTACATTTCATGAAATAGTGAGCATGATGCTTCATGTAAAAGCAAACCTTTTCATCCGTCAGGAAGCTGAGCTGTTCGGTTTTCTGTGCGAGCTGAGAACGCAGGGTTAAAATGGTCAATTCACTGTCAGAAGCCCTCAATGGCAACACTTTGAGCTCGGCTTGCAGAACTTCCACCTAAAAGTCAGTATTACAGCATTGCTAAGGAGCTAAACAACGCGGATAACCTCCTTTTCTTGATTACTTGTCCCTGATTCCACGGCATCTTGAACACGCAACAAGGGGGTGTAATTAAACGCATTTACGCAGGTGAATCTTACCTGAGAACTCCCTGTCCTGCGCGGCTAGGATCGCCATTTCGGCGAAACCCTAATTCTTTCTAGTCTACTTACTATCTGTTGCTTTCTTGTGATAAAACGTTCTCCACATTTCCATTTTGAAAGAAAAACATTTCTAATCATCATCACCTCTTCCAGAGAGTGTGAAAGCCGGTCCTCCAAGGGAAGATTTCGAGTTGTATGTTCCAGGTCCTGGACCAGATTCAAAATTCTTGGAAGAATACTTGATGCCAATGGAGAAAGCGGGTGATGATTCGGCTAGTTTCTTGGTGCTGGCCTTGTACTCTCCTGGTCCTGGTGACTCTCTCATTGGCCTGTTGAGCTTTCTGGATGTGAAGCTGTAAGCCGGACCACCCCAGTAGCTTTCTACTGGACTGTAAGCACCTGGCCCAGGTCCAGTTTCCTGAAGCGATTTACTGTGTCGCCCTGCAATGGTATACGCAGGAGTACCTGGCCTCTTGACAGTCTTCCAAAAGTAAGCTCCAGGACCGGGACTGACTTCCATCTTTCTAGCAGGCTTCCTTCCAGAAATACTGCATCCTCGTCTGGTTTCAGAAGTCACGACCCTGGGACTGTAGGCACCAGGCCCGGGTCCAGAAATTTCAACCTGTCTTCGTCCTCGACCAGCAATGCTGAAAGCAGGCTCTTTGTGTTGAAGATAAGCCAGGGCTGCGTCTGCTGCATACTGTCCAGGTCCAGGCGTCTCAATAACCTCTCGTGGTGGTCGCTTTCGTGCCATGCTGAAGGACGGACCTGTTAAAGTACTTGCTGCTGGATAAGCTCCCGGTCCAGGACTGTCATCCTCCAACCTTCGTCCATATTTGCCAGCAAAAGAAATAGCCGACGATTTTGGACGCTCTCCAGCATTATAGGCGCCCGGTCCAGGCGTTTCGGCACTTGTAGACATTGGCGACTCTCTTTTCGCCAGAATTGTAAAAGACGGACCGCTTTCTGAAGCTCCAGCACCGTAAGCACCCGGTCCAGGTAGAACTTCTTTTGGGTAGGAAGACCTTCGTCCCTGCATTGAGTAAGCAGGATCTCGAGGATGAATGATCTCACAGTCGGCTCTGTATGCTCCAGGTCCAGGCATAAGTGCTTTTTCGTCTTTCTCATGAGAAGAAGGATGGCGACCAGGAATTGTAAATGCAGGTCCAAAACGCTTATTTCCATGCTCGACAGTGTATGCTCCTGGTCCGGGATTACCTTCGTCATTGTGGGGAGGAGGAGGCTTGCAGGAGATCGAATACGCTGGAGATGCTGGAGTGACTGGCTTGACGTCAGGATAGTATGCACCAGGGCCTGGATTCTTGTTGTCTTTGTTCTTCCTTCCCATTTTTTGTCTTTTACTTGTGGTTTTGTGATAGGCAGAGGCGCGTTTTGATTTTTAACGGCTGGCTGACCACATAACAGAATATCTCATTTAAAGAAATTGTCTGGCGCCTATCATGAAGCATAAGAGTGCGGGAAGAGACTAAGTTGCCTATGCTTCTTTCATGTGAATTTGAAACGTGTTAGTGTTATGCTAGAATAAGTAGTATTTGTAGCTTGTGTGTGGCGCACTAGAGAGGTTGATGTGTGTTTGGTGCCCTTTATCCTAATTGGAAGTGCTCTAGTGCATCAGCCCACTTTTGATCAGTGGTGACATGAAGTTTTCTTAAATGGATTGTGTTTAGGTATAATGTTTGCATATCAACCAGCGCCAACATTGTGCTCGCCAGTTCTGGTCCAAAGGTTATTGCTGCTGCTCTAAAGCTAAAATTTCAAATGACAGAAAACATCTCCATGGCCACTGATGTATTTTGAGCTTCTTCAATTCAATTCTCACAAACCTAGACACAAGAAACAAAAAGTAAAAGGAGAAAGAAACTTGATATAAGTAACCTTCTTTCTCACATCTTATCGTTTTTCAGCAATCACCAACAGGTAAAATTTTCCACCTTGCAGTCTTAGTGATGTCATCGTTCAAGCCTGTCAAAGTATTTGTAAGGATGCGAAATAGAAGGAATCAAATGTAGCACACACCCACTTCTTCGTATCCTTTCTGATGTGCTCGCTAAGGCCACTTCCCTTAAGAGCTCTGGTACAGCATTGTTCCATCTATCAATACTGTGAGCGTTGGAAAGACAAGACCAAAACCTAGCGGTGACGGTGATTTCATGTTGTTGAGAGAAACTATCTTACTGGTTTAATGTTGTTCCACGGAGCTATCTCTTTTGCGTGGTGGATCATCGAACTCCTAAGGCTTTGTTTGATCTCTCTCTCTCTCTCTCTCTCTCTCTCTCTCTCTCCCCACATCATATACAAAATGTAAATTTTTATTTCCTGGTACATCTTTGATTGGAAAATATTGGTCACTGTATAGCCACAGCTTCTTCCACAAGATCCTATGGCGAGGAATTTCTAGAGGAAATTCAGAGCAAGCGATGATCTTGTGAGATGTCACACTTGCTGTGTAGATAATTATAAGAAATATATCGAACGGTAAGAACAACTTGAGAACATATATTCTTTCTCAGCTTTCGTGGCCTCTATCACCTGGTCTTCTGCCTCTATCACAGAAATTTAGGAGAAGCTGCCAGTCAGTAAATCCTAGTGTTGAGGTTGATGACTGGGATACATGCAAGGCTTCTTTTTGGCACCAACTCTTGTGGCATATGTGAGGACTTTCTCTCATCATCTAAACATTCTTCTAGCCATTATCTTACTCATACATGAATCTTTCTTTTCTCTCTGATCTTGCTGTCGATTAATTTTGAGAATGATTTTCTACTTTATCTGAAGTCCACTTCATAGAGAGAAAATTCTCACCATTTAACTTCTGATTGCTTGTGATTCTTGAGTTTGATCTGAACTTCTCCAGCTACCATCTTATCAAACACAGCTGAGCTTAATAATCTCACACATTATGTATATGTCCACCATAACACTAGATAATATGGTAGCACATTACAGGAAAAATAGAGTATGCATCTATAATGTATAGATGAAACATAAATGTACACTAGCAAGGAATCCAGCTCCACTGGCCTGGACCAAAATAAGTCTTTGAAAACACTTTACTGGGATAGAAAAGTTATAGCTAATAGTGCAACATAGAATAAATTAGTGTGTATTGTATGCTTCTAAGATTTATCATGAGCATTTATAAAATCTATAAGAGTAATAATAATCACAAAGCCTTTTATAAGAGAAATCAAGTTTACAAATAATTAATTTGCTTTTAATTTGTAATTATTTAAAAGTCTGTAAATGTAAATTAGTTTTCTGATATAAAAATATACTTTAATGATTCTGTAAATTAATATTTGTTCATTTTTGAGGTTCTAATAATATTTCCTGAACTTGTGTTACTTAAGTGGTTAATAGATTTAACGTTTTTAGATTGTCATAGCTTACCCAGACAAGTTTTGATTGAAGCCAAGCAGGCATTGCAGCCTTGAAGCCTTGGAGGACTTGTACCTTCTATGGAGCACAATCGGTCTGTGCCATATTGCCAACAGAAAGGCTTCTTAGTGTAGAAAATATTTTTAACAGTTAGAGAAAAGCATGAATGACAACAACGTAGCCATGTCCTGCCCCACCGAGGACATGACCACATGGCAAGTGCTCGACCTCAAGCACAAATCTTGACATATCCATTCATGCTCTTGCCATTTGAAACAGGTCCTTTAGCCCAACATTCATGCTCCTAGCTGCATTCCTAGCTTTCTTACTGCTTAGATTCATGGTATCTAATGATACCATGCAGAGGTAGCCATGAGGTGCTGGTTTTTATCCTCTCAATGCTTCCAGAGTAGAGTTCCCTTGCAAAGCCCTACTTTCACAACATTGCTTTCTTTGGGGAAGAAGTATGTGGTCATGGCAGCTCCCAGGATCAAAGAGTATCTCAGGGTTGAGTAATGGTAGAAAGTTTTGAGCAAGTTTTACTGCTCATTCAATCTGGAAGCCTGCTATCAGGAGAAGGATTGGAAATCTAGGAGACACTATCTACTCCTAGAGAGGTCTCTGCTGGAACCAGCAATGCTATAGGTTGGGTCCAGAAAAATGCTGTTATGTCATCCCTTGAGAGGAGCAGTGAGGACATATCCAAGTTATAGCCGCCAAAAATAGAGTGACAAAAGATGAGGCTTTGGAGATGATGTGACCCAGAAATGAACAATGAGTCAGCAAGGGCTGCTGTGTGATGAGTCACACCTCTGGAGTTACTCCAGTTCAATCCCAAAGTGGATCTTTGCGCAATATGATAGGCTTTTCTCTTGAATGAATCACCTAGAGAAAGTATTGGTCCTGCTATGTTATGAGTCTGGTCCTCAAAAAAAGGCCTCCAAGACTACCGAGCAGTTTCTCACCATGGAATCCAATGAAACTTTCAAAAGTGATGGGTAAGAGAAATCAGATAGAAAGTGTCATTGACTCAGCTAAGTTCGTGATCAATGTCTACAACAGTATCGTGAGTGTGCAAGATCTGATGAACCCTGCTCATGAAGCATGACGGAAGTGATCTCTTCAGCAAGATTGAGAACTTTGTAATTGGCAGCTGTGGTCTCCTCGGCCTTTTGAACAGCGTAGTCTTCCAGCTCCTGCATGCTCTCATCCTCCAAAGAATCAAAATGGACAAGTGGGACAAGGGGTAGACTTCTAGACCATAAACATGCAAGGACCATGTAATCAGTTTTAAAACACTGCTTCCACATGTGATTGCTTCTGAGTGTTCACTTTTGCAAGCCTCAAAGTTTTTCACCAGGATCATTCCAAAGAACCAAAGTGAAGTAGTGGTCTCCTAAAATTTTGTATATTTTAATTCGTTATCATAAATTTAAAGAGCTTGCTAATCACTCACAATTCAATAAGTGGGACACAATAAGATGAGGAAGTAGAGAAACTTGATCCATTTCCACAGTTCCACTGGAAGCTGGACAGTGCCAGAGAGTGTTTTCTTTTTCATCTTGAGCAAAGCTTCCAATCAGGTTTACAAGGCATACTTGACAAAATAATCTTCTAGAAAACAGTACAAAGAAGAAGAAACAGGGCGAGAATGGAAAATCAGTTACTTGCTCCTACTTTGAGTCTGAAAATTGTAGGCGCTGCTGCTCCCATGACCTCAGCAGTAACTTTAAAACACAAGAGAAAATAATATTTTTGTTCTTACAGTAGCAATGCTTCTATTGCAGTTTGGGATCTGCTAAAGGAAATACTGAAATGGTCTGTCAGTCAGTGTCATTGAGCGCACAAACCAACCAAGATATGTGATGAACATTAGATCTGTTTCTGTGTGAGTGCAGGAGGACACTCGAATTGGAGCACTCATTGCTTTCATATTCATAATTCTGGCACTGGTGCGGTGCTTTTAAGGATTTTCTGGTCAGAGAATAAATCAAAAGCTGTAACTCAAGCTGGAATAGGACAGCGGATTCAAAGATATACAATTTCAGACAAGTTTAGCTTTGGATATATAGAATTGGCAATTGGATTTACCGGATCATGATCCATTGAAGTTTTTGAACTTATCTTCCGAAACAATTTAGATAGTCACTTACATAGCTTGCCTTTCAATGTGACAATTGACATGCTTGCCAAGATCCAGGGAGCTTATTTCATGGAAGGGACTCAAAGGTGCCATACTCCTGCAGTAAAATATGCGTGATGAAATTATGAACAGAAACCATAGAGACACATAACTCGCACATAAAGAAGCACTGAGTGTATGCATGAGCTCATCAAAGCTCATCAAAGCTGCTTGCGATAAGAAAGCGGATCAACAGCCCATTTTTGCAGAGATTGTCTGGAGACTATGAAAGTCTGTTGATTGGCTGTTGCCCAGTTACTTTGTCTTTAAAATAAGCAGTAGAAAGTCAAGACACGGAATCATCTTGAAGCATATCTTAAATCATCGATGTGCTCTAGACTATCATTTTCTCTAGAGTTCCAAATTTCCTGGGGATGCAAAGAAAAGGTTAAGGAGCAGCTATGTAAATTGCAGGAATAGAAGGAATGGAAGTGGTTTACACAAAACGGGTTTTGCATTGATCCCTGATGCTTGTTTTGGGGTAGTGCTCAAGTAGACGCTAGAAAATGCAGTAGAGAGGAACAGGGAGCTTCTACTGTTCCATGTATGATCTGTTGTCCGAACAATTGCAAAATTCTGGTAAGTCACTCTTTAGAAACATCACTTGCATCTTACAAATTGCGTAGGTTGGGAGAGTACCTGTCTCACAAGTTTGAAGGAAACACTTGCATATATGGCAACCAAGGAGGCCAGACAGCGAACTTCTCTCAGGAGCTTCAAAATTAGAAACATCACTTGCATCTTACAAATTGCGTAGGTTGGGAGAG